TCAAGCTGCATTATTTCTGGCAGTCTGCAAAGGCCCCATGACACCTCAAGTGGGTGTTAAACTGCATTATTTTCTACAGCGTAGATGCACTCTTAGGGGATCTCCTCGGAAGAGAATTTGCCAAGGAAACTGTTGGATTATGTTATGGGTCACCATAAATTGAACCTGACTTGAAAGCATATAACAATAAATGTCAGTGATGTGGAAAGTATGGGCTGTGGGTACCAAAGCCTTCTTCTAGTGACCACAAAAAATGTTTTCTTACACAAAAGTGGGAGACAGATTGAGATAGTGGTGCAGACCTCTGAAGTCCTTGGTGATGGTGGGTCAGAGACCTAAAGTTCGGTCTTAGTACAATTTCTCAAAAAATGTTGTCCCATCCTACCTATTTTGAGAGGGGCATCTGGGGAGAGATCCGCGTACAGGAGATTCTCTGGTTTGAGGTCGCGATGGACCACGCCATTCGCATGCAAGTACTGCAGGAAACAGGGAGAGGAAAAACAGGTGAGAATTTGCCACAGTTGGCATCCTTCAAACAGATGCAATCCAGATGCATTTCCATGCTCTTTTCTGGATCTGACTTCTGGGAGCATCCTCTTCCTACAAACCTCAAAAGGCTGTTTCAACTCCAGTTTGTCTCAGTGTAAACTGGCAAAGTGATACTGTGCATTTTGTTAATAGTTTCCTCCTTCTATTCCTACCTTTACTTGCTTCCTGTTCAGGGTGGTTGAACTATCATTATCCAGTTACATCATAATTAGATTATCCCCGTTCATTTGGGTTTAATGTCTGACTTCACCTCATTTGTTTTCTTATTTAAAATGTGGAAGGGCCTTAGTTTGTGATTGAAAATGCTAACAAAACCAACGACCCATGGAAGAAGCAGGAACTGGCCAAATGACATAAATTTCTGTATTTTAATCTTTTTTCCCAATCTTGATTCAAAACGGGTAAGAAATAAATATTGTTGTTGTTTTTGTTGTTGGCTGCATCCACAGTGCAGGAATAATCCAGTTTGACATCATTTTAACTGTCATGGCTCAACGCTATCGAACTCCGGGACTTGTAGTTTTGTGAGCTATTTAGCATTCTTTGTCAGACAGCTTTGGTGCTACAACAAACTACACATCCCAGGATTCCATACCCTGGAGTCATGGCAGTTAAAATAGTGTCAAAATGGATTATTTCTGCAGTTCGGATGCAGCCCCCGTTATATCTCTAATGCCGCGGTGAAGCAAAAGTTGTGCTAGAAGCAGCTGGAAGCAGGAAGCTTTTAATTAAAGTTGCTGAGAACCTTAGCAGAACACAATTAATGTTAAAACAGGATCTTGGCTGCAGGGGCAAAGGACATAATGCTGCACTCTGTGCAGTGTGGTGCCATTTTTTTGATTCCTTTTTTCCGCTGATGGAAGAAAAGCAATGCCTCAGGCGCAGTTAAGTGCTTTAGGAAAGGCTTTGAAACACAGCTGGGTCAAACCATTTGCAATGGCACTGAGCCACAGAGTAAAGGATCCTGCTCTGTTCTAGTAGGCCCAACCCCAGGGAGAGAAAGCTGCTTCAATGATTTTAGAAACTTCACCCAAAGCAATGCAAACGAGGCAGACAGATCAACCCTGGAGAGAATTCAGACCCCTTCCAAAACAAGTACATGCACAACGGGAACCAGGGTCCCTTTTGTGTATCCAAGGGTGAGCGCCACACAAGACAAGAATTTTGGAAAGAAAAAAGACCATAAGTGTTTATCAATACCAATTGCAGATGGGATGGTAACACATGGGACCAGATCCGGGCATCAATCAACCTGCCTGTTGATTGACAATACCCAGACATAACAAATCACACAGCCTCACATACATAGTGACACAATGATGCACACTTAGCATGTCTAGATATGAGTGGAAATACTGTTACAGTACATTTGGGACTGGGACTGGCAAAATTTAAACATGGGAGAAAGGAAAACACTTAGGTTAGCTCACTCTGAATCTTGGCTGCCCTTTTCTGAATTCAGTCACCATGCCTGGCATTGTGATTTACATACCTTTAAAGCAGATGATGAAGACAATGAAATAGTCAAAGATCTCCTATATCCCATGGCTCAGTCCTTACTCAAAACAAGACTGCAGCCAAGAAGTCAGAAGAAGGCTAGGACTTGGGAGGGCAGCTATGAAGACACTAGACAATACCCTAAAGTGTAAAGATGTACCACTGAACATACAGTCGGACCTCCTTATCCACAGATTCTTTATTCAACAATCTATGGCTTGAAAATATTAAAATATACACATTCCCAAAAGCAAACCTTGACTTTTAGAAATTGTTCATTGCTGTAGCTTATTTTTGTTTTATTATTTTACAGCTGCGCCTCCGTTTTCATGGACTTCGAGTCTACAGTTTTAGTCCTTCATGGACTGGCAAGCCCCATTGGTTAAAATAGAGGGGTGACTGTATTTATTTATATTTATTTGCTGAGAACCTTAGCAGAACACAATTAATGTTAAAACAGGATCTTGTTTTAATTGTTTTAACAATTAATGTTAAAACAGGATCTTGTATACTACGGTATAGATCACCTCGCAGTCTTTATACTGATTATATGCTGTTTTATTATTGTTTTTATTGCTTTTTATTGTTGTTGTTTTTAATTATCATGTTTTACATGTTGTATTATTGTACAGTGTTGTACATTTTATCCTTGTGCTCCTGCCTTGATCCGTAGAGAGAGGCGGGAAAATATAAATAATTATTATTATTATTATTATTATTATTATTATTATTATTATTATTATTATATCCTGCCTTTCTCCAGACAGAGGGACTCAAGGTGGCTTAGTTTATGTGTGAACTGGACCTTGGGGTAGGGGATTATTTAGAAATGTGGATTTTAATTGTATATTGAATTGTATTGTTATTCTTATTTGTTGTAACCTGCCTTGATCCGCAGGGAGAGGCGGGCTATAAATAAAATGTATTATTTATTTATTTATTTATTTATTTTTCCATGGCCAGAGTGGATGCTGGAGTATGATTGGTCAGTGGTTGGGCCAGTTATCGCCAGAAGCCATAGCAGCAGGGGATGCCAACTATTAACCTTGCGGGATCAGTTTGCCCTACGATGCCACACCAAGAACAAAGGAGAATAAAATCTCTCTCCCTGTCCATCTTTCTGAATGGCCCAGCGTTCCCAGGCAGCTGCTTTCGCTGGCTCCTCTCGTCCCAAACAAACAACAGATGCCTCGCA